AATATCTTATTACCATAATTCCAATAGTACCCATAAAAATCACAAAGCAAGGGATTAATACATACTTTTCCTATTGTTAAAGTGTCAAATTCATTTATAAACGGGCGTAACGAGATTTCTTCTAACTCATCACCCAAATTATTTCAACTCTAATTGTACATTTCAGTATACAATTTCTTTATCTAACTTGATACCGCGTTAATAATTTTTCCATCCATCTTTCCTCTAATTTATCATCCACCCCACGTATCTTCAATTTAACATAAGACGCAGCATGATTTAATCGTCGCTAATAAACGTCGACGCTGCTTCGTTCGCAGCAAACTCAATTCCAAAACTCGAGCCGGTATTTCTCTGAAAATTTTCTACCTGATTAAAACAAAATGCAAAAGCCGAGGCGGGTTAATCAATTCGCGGGCAAGAATTCCGCGTGGGAAGAAGGGAAGTTTCCTTCGAATGTGAAGCATTGAAGATTCGGTAACTCGAAAATTAAGGATTCCTGTTTGATCTCGAGCACCCGACACTTTGAATCATTATGCATACCTCCGTCGATTCCGAGCACGGAGGGGCGAAACAACTTTCCCCGGTAGAGGAAGACGGGGCGAACCGGCCCGAGAATCGCCTCGACGGGGATGGAACGATCTCACCCAGACTAGAATCTCTGTCTCTCTCGTTTTCTTCGGGTCTTGCCACCCTGCATAATGCATCGCGGAACGCCGTTAAGGCAAAGACGGAACTTCCCTGACGTGGAACGCCAGAAGCACACACGTCGCTCCTCCACTTGTCTCTCCCTTGCTCTCCTCTTCAACCCCAACGTGCCTACGCTCGCTTCCGTGCAGCTTTTCTCGAATTATTTGTTTCCTTCCCTCAGCCGGCGGAAGTGCGAGGAAAACGCAACCACCGACGTTTTAATAGCTGCAGACTGTAATTAAGAATTACGGTGTACCGAGGACTACGCTCTATGTCGAAGTAACGATTACCTTTGCAACGCATGATTAGGTTGCTGTTTCAATTTTTTTAAGAAAGTAAATCATCTGAAAGTTGACAACTGAAAAATGATAAATTGACCCGTTTGACATCTGTAGTTTTTAAAAAATAATTTTTAACACTTTATCGAATAATAGAGGTGTGTAGATCGTAGATCTCGTCATCAGCAGTTGAGAACCAACGACGACAATTCGCGTTATCGTAATGTTTTGTGGACGCACATGTGAGTCTATCGTTCTTGTTCAGCGCGCACGTAGTATTTATCTGTTTTATTTTAAACTCTACTCGATACGCTTCAAGCGGTAAATTAATGGAAGCTTGAATATTTGGGGGTTTGATGCAAGATATAACAACAGTTACCCCTTCACTCAATTTAATATTATAACTAGTGTGGTTGCAGCGCGGTATTACAATTTTTACCGAGATACGTGTTTTTTGTTGAAAGTGTACTGGTGTATTGACTTGTGTTTTTAGTTTAGCTTAATTTATATCTTGTATATAATTTTTTGGCGGGGGTGATGAACGCGGATTGGTTTTTGAGAACTTCTGGAAATAGACCCGGAAGGGGTTGCTATCTTTCTATTGGATCCCCATTTGCTAGAGTCACCAGCAAGGTGACCGCCTACGATTGATCGTGGATCGCCCGGTACCGATGGGAACCTCGGGTGACGTCCGGGAATTTCCGCGTCCCTCGACCGTAACAGGTAATAACTTTATGAAGCGCCTTGACCTTACTAAGACATGCAAAATTACAATAAAAAATAGAAACGGCATTAAGCCGAAAATAAAGAAGTATATTACTTAAGTTTAAAACGTCGTAGAAGGTAACCGATGGCCGGTGGCTTCATAAACTTATTGTGTTACGGGTTCTTGGTCTTCTTCGCGCCTAGGGTCGCATCATAAACGTTGTTACAATGTAACAGTTCTCAAAGGGTTAATCTTCTTCGTCGCTGTAATTGATCGCTTGCACGTTATTTCTTCTACAATACTTTCATTTGTTTGTTACTTTAGCGAAAATAAATTGTTCAATTGTGTTGCTAATTCGGAAGTAGAGAAACAATTTTAGAACGTGTTTTAAATTGATTTTGAGAGGAATTAAGGAAATATTATCGGTATAATAAAATTGAAACAATATTTCTATACCAGTGCAGAGAAAAATTTATTATACTTTGCAAGAGAAAAGATGGAAGGTACAGAGTATTCTAGTAGAAACCGATACAAAATACACTTATTACTGTACCTTCCTTCGATGTATGTTTTCGTTTAAATCCGCCATACTTTCGATACCGTGGATATCCTCGCTGTAACAATGTTATCGTTGCTTTAATTCCTCGACGTCGATCAGTATTTCCACCGTATTAACCACGAAAACGTTTATCGAACGGGACACTGTTTTTCACCAACAGTTGCTGCGTCTTAAGCTTCGTACAATACCATAACGTCTCGAATCGAAAGTTAATCTTGTAAAAATACCTATCTTTCTCTACGTACGTTCGTAATTTGCAGCAAAATAGATAGGTCAATATTATGTCATACTTGGAGCAATTACAACACTTAATTTCAACAACTTACCAAAATTGAAACCTGTAAAAATTCACCTAAGAATGCAACTAAAGCGTACATTTACCAGAGTATCCAAAACCAGCGAACGGCGAGATTGTTGGCCGATTCGAATGAAAACTATCGCGCCGATTCGCCACTCGTAGAATGCAAAACTTCTCAGACGAACCGTGCCATGTTAATTCGGAATTCGGAGTTCCTTCACTTTGAAGATCGTCCTGTCTACGACGCGGTACGCGAGTCTCGCCGACTACCACCCAAGGTAATCTACTTCGTGAAAGTTCCATCGAGCTCAGGTTAAGTCGGTTGCACCGGGTAAGCCTGGGTGTTACCACGGCTGATGAATCCGAAGCACCCACGGTAGCGACGCGTTTTCGGGACACGAGGTGCAGCCGTTCTTTGTGGCGTGACACCTTGTTAGTTTCGAGGGTCCTTCGATTGTTCACGCTTGTTTTCACCGCGACAACTGTCCTCTATTGTTTTCAACTTAATCCCTTGCCTTATGATTTCTTCCGCCGACTATGCACCCGAGCGTCAGCTATTCGCTGATTTAGTGCTGCGTTAGGGAAGAAAAGCTGATGTGTTGTAGATTAACAACGTTCGATAGCCCTCGGTATTGTAAATTGAAACGAAAGTTAGAGTTAAAATTGATTTTTGTTACTAATATAAATGCTTTCGTCGCATTTTGACCAAAATCTGTGCCACGAGTCTGACTCATTGTTTTAAGGCAAGGGATTAACTTGATAAAATATATTTTCGACTGTGAAACTTTTTTGAATCGATGGAAAATATGTCTACTTGCTTATCACACAGAAAAAAATTCTACATTGAGAGGATAGCGTAATTAATTATGTAATTTCTGAAGATCAGGGGAAAGAATTTTGTTAATAATTCAGTTTACTGGTCAGTCTGGAATTTTGATGTTTTTTTAATTTTTTAATGGAACTTCAATATCTACTTTCGTATTCTTAACTGGAGTAAGTGGCTTGCTAGAATGTTTCTTAAAAATTCTGCTGTAATCTTGCTTTAATAGCGCTAAGATTAGCGAGTTGGCTCCTTTCCTTAGGATTTGGCGATTATACGTGGTGTAGCGAGACTAGGAATTATGATATGCTAATTACTTTACGTGTAGAATAAGTCGTGAATCCATTTAAAAGTACCATTTCTTTATTTCCATGATTTCTTTCTTAACATTCGTTCCACTTCGCAAAGTTCTTCAAAATACAGGATACTTTGCTATGTATAATCAGATGTAAATTAAAGTGCACAATATGTTCCCATTAAAATACGAAGTTTCGAGTATTTGTGACATTTTACTCGACCTTCTTCTTTCCTTCCGTCAGGCAAAAGCACTTCGAGAACCATAAGAACATTTGTAAATGTTTATAAAGCCATCGTAAAGTTCGTAGGAGAAGTATTGCAGAAATGATTGTAACGACGAATGAAATTATCGAAAGGAACGCGATAATGTCCATATCGTATCGCTGGTACCAAGGATCGTCTGCTCCGCTGAATCGAAGATGCGGCGCTCCTTTGTGGCGCATCACGTATTCCACCCACCATATTATCTGTTCTTTGCTTTCGTATGGCTTGTCCTTCATCAGTCTGCTTAATTCTGTCATCGATTCTTTGTAACTAAAAGTGGAACCAATATTTCTGTTACGTTAAATTACAATTTTATCACTTAGAAGATATTGCAGTAAAATTTTAAGAATAAGAGTACTCTAGGAATATTAAAATTTAATATTCAGTATTAAAATTTTGAAATTTTTAATACATTTTGTCACTATAAGAATACGTTTTGAGATTTTTAATCAAATTTTAAGAATAAGAATACTTTAAGGATGTTAAAATTTAATATTGAATATTAAAATTTTGAAATTTTGAATAAATTTTGTCACTTGAGGAATAAATTCTGAAATTTTGAATAAATTTTGACATTTAAAAATGAAAATTTGATATCACAATGATAAATTACTCGCCAGAATAGATTCTCTAAACAGAATAGAAATTTGTTGGAGTCGCTTCGATTGAAAATTTAATTTAATAATTTCCACAGACTACTAATAGTTTCCCTCGTAATTTCACTTGAAATATTTATTTAATACTCATTCATATGCGCGTCGTAATAAATGTTGCATTTAATATCACGTTTGCGAACAAACTTGCGAGTTATTAATATGATATACACAAAGTGTTCCTCTTTCATAAATAAAACAGGGTACAGTACACATGGCAACAGGAGCTCGACTAACAAGTTAGAATGTAAACTCGGAAAGACACACGGTACACATTATTCGAATTGAACTCCAGACAGGTTTGTCGAATCCTCGGGTAATTATTAATCGATATAACATGGTTGCAAACAACACCTTTTGTTATTGATTATTTCGAAGATAGCATTGTAGAACGTTTCCTCGTCAACTGTCGAGACGTCGACCATTTTGCATACACCCAACGAAACCAATTTCCTGATTCTGTATGTTTGATCGAATATTATTGGTACACCTAGTAATGGTACGCCGTAATAAACAGCTTCTTCTGCGCTTTGCATCCCCCCTTGGAAAATGAACAGCTTAATATTCGGATGGGCTGCAATCGATACTTTTTTATTAGTATTTCTACCTATAAAATTTCAGCTTTACCTTGAAAATCAGTGAAATCTTAGATTTGAGGAAATAAGATATTAAGAAATATTTAGAAGTGCAGTGAGATATTAAGAAACATTTAGAAATATAGTAAGATATGAAAAAATATTTAAAAATATAGCAAGGTATTAAGGAATATTTAGAAATATAGTAAAACATTAAGGTAATTAATTTTTTTAGAAGATATTAAGGAAAAAGTAATTGCTAAGTATTCACTGTAAACGTAGAAAAATGAATTTTTGAACTTTTACCAAGGACACTTTCCTGAGGAATCCATTCGCTGGTAAGAACATTACCATTTCTCTTTGGTATATCGTCCCCGTCATATTTCCACAGAACTTTATACGGTAATCTAGAAAAGGCGTTGTAAATTTCTTTCACTACTCGGGCCAGCACTTGCGAGGGTCTCATAGTGCAGCCGAGACTCATATAAATGAAACCATCGGTCGCATTTCCTAAAAATTCGCTCAGCTCCTAGAGAACCATGTGTCACATTCAATCGAAAAATTACTTTTTCACGTATTTAATTGTATTTAACTGTTTCGTTAATTAATTTGCGCCGGCTAACCGTTTAATTAAAATGCCTTTCTAAAGAAAACTTCAATTGAATTGTTAAAAAATTTAGAACTCTCTCTCTCCTCTCGCGATCGATTATTCTAATTAAGAGAGTTATCCGGGTCACCGATACCCTTTCTGAGTGTAATACCTCAACATGACCGTTGGTTACATTATTTTCGCGTGAAAAACGAAGAAAAAGTTCATCGAAAGCTCCGGAGTAACTTGATTGGACAGAGAAATCGTTTAGCTAACGAAGCTTCGAACACGAATCCCGGCGAATCTGATTCGATAGCTTTTCCTCTCTGCAGCGTGGTTATTGTTACCTTAAATTTTCATTTTTTCCACCGAGCCAATTACGTTTATCAAATCAAGCCTGCGCGGTCGATCGTTGATAATTAAAAAAAAAACATGTCCTAATTGAACGTGTGTCAAAAATACGTACCGGTGTGAGAGGAGGAGGATCCTCGGCAATGTGGAAACTAGTGTACTCGATAACATTAGGAGCCAACGGTCTCGCGTATCCGAGCAGTGGATTCTGATTAACCAGAAGCAAGCTCATATTTTTCGCAATATCGTAAAACGGTGGTAGATCAACTCCAACGATGTTTCTGATACTTTTCTCGTGTTCCCCCGTTTGAAAATCGTACCAATGATGCACAGCCACCGAAGCAACAGCGAACGCCTGTAATCTCTCCCAAAACGACATGTCTGGACTGATATAATGGAAAAGCTCCCAGTTGGATAAGTGTGTAGGTAGAATCGGAGCGCCCAGAAGGTAGTTGTGATACATGTGTAAGTCCGTCGATATCATAGCTGTCGAACATAATTCGACGTGTTTAAAAAATACTTTCACGTGAATTTTCCACGTTTCTGTTAGGTACCGGGAAAAATCCGCGTGGCTTTTCTCGCAGGAGGAAACTCGAATCGAAGTTCTTTTAGTAGAGCGCAAATCTGATGCACAAGATTGGTATCAATGAAAGATTTTGGCCAGTTTTTGTAATTATCGTTTGTTTCGATATTCGACAGGAATTTTCTGACTAAGAAAATTTTACATCCTCCTTATAACCCAGACATTATAGTTTCCTTGTGATTATCACTTCTTTTCGCCTACGTCAAGCTTGTTATCAAATGAACATTACAAAAACTAGGTCAAAAAACAGTAGTTAATTCGTCTTTTGCAAGAAAAACTCAAGTCTTTTACAATAACGCAATGTACAAGCTTGTAAAGTGTTGGAAAAGGGTTATAGAAAAAAATAGCGATCACTTGGACAAACTTCAGATTGCAGATTAGGAAGTTCTCCCGGTACCTAACAGTGAGAAAGAAAATTTCCACGTATTTCAATTTTACCTATGTAAGGAACGTTGAGCATATGAGCTATAGCAAACGCGCCACAGCTTATCAGGCCTTCGACAATGACCAAATCGAATTTCTCGTTACTACCAGGCGCGTAGATCTTCTTTATTTCCGGATGAGTGTAAAAGTACTCGGTGAGGAGATGTCCCATGCTGAACGCAAAATCGTCCACTTCGTATTTCGTGAATCTATTGTACTTCGGTATGAATGTCGTTACTCTGTCCATCTCCAACAGTTTTCTCATGCTGGTGAAGTCGATTTCCGTATAGTTTGTCAACGAGGAATTCTTCGATATCAGGTTCGTCACGAAAACCACTTCGTGGCCTCGTTCGGCCAACTTCCGCGTCAAACTTCGAAATAGAATCTGATGGCTGTACGATGGACCCAATACTATCACCAGTATTCTTCCACAGTTCACCGGATTGCTCGTCATTAGCAATAATAGAAATATCGTTATTCTGGATAAAACGGCGAAGTTCATTTTCTTCTTCCTTTTTCTTGGAATATTTGACAAACTCACGTTGACATATAGCAGGTGCAAATTGACACTGATTTTAATATTACAATTCACATTTACAGTTTTATCATCGTCGATCGATAAGACTTGCTGATAAGCTTTCTGCAAATTGTATAAATTACAACGAAGAATAGACTGAATCGTTGAACAAGTTATTGTAACTTTTTTAAGTTACTTGCGGAAACGATGCTATTCCATCGCAGGCAAGTAAACGTTTACCTACAAATGTTAGACGATGCACTTTTGAATATTGAAACGCCGACCTTGAAATTATGTTTTCTTTGTTCGAACCAACGCGTTTATGAAGAATTATGAATTTTTCATAAACTCTACTTATTATACTCATTATTCCACGATAATTTTAAATGGTTCACATGCAATTACCGGCTATTTTAATTCTTCGCTTTTCGTTTTATTCCTGTAATTCTGAAAACTTTGCTATTGCTATTCCATTTCAAGGCGTGCAATATTACATTACTAGGCCACTGTACGCAGAGGGATAAATACTTAATTAATCCACTAGTATCCAACTTATAGTTGTAATTTCAATTTTCCATAATCCACGATTTTTACCAATGCAAGCGCGAGACCGTGGAAAAATCACATTTAGCATTCTACTGTTTGGTCAGTGTTCAATTTATCGAGTGCATTAATTATCTATCAGCTTCAGTTTGGTATTGATTCGAGATTTTCAAATAGCACTTATACATTAATCAAACGAATATCATCTATTAATTTTGATAGAAAATAGAAACACTTTATCTCTCTAATATATTATATATAACAGGATGAAACGTTTCTAGACTTAAGTTCGCATAAAATTCTTCTCAATTTCCTTCGAAAATCACGTCTGAATAATTTACTCCGTTAAACTCTGCTAAACTTCGTATAGAATACATAGATAAAATATGAAATATCGTTGAAGCGGAAGTAGAAAGATTTTCCAACGGTATGCTATGAATTTTCCTTCGGAACAGGTCGTTTCTTTGTCTGTTATTTCCGTATCAGTTGAAGACGTCGCGGACTTTCATAAATTACCCATTAGTTCCGGTCGCTCCGCGTCTCGTTCCGGCGTCATAATTTGAAAAGTTGCGAGCCCAGTCGTGCATTATTTATACAGGCGGATCCGAACTTGCCGAACTTCCTTCGCGACAAAGTCGTATCGCAGTTGTTTGCCAATTACGTCTGTCAAGCATCGACAGCGCTATACGCTTGGTCGAGATTAAATTCGGCGACGTCCTAGAAAATCCGCGGGTGTGCAGAAGATCGGGGCTGTTGCACACCCCTTTCCTTTCCTTCGATTTCCTCTCCTTTGTATTTAACGTCTTTGCTATGCTAATATTTTCTGCTCGGAATCAATTTCTCACTCGTATATCCAATTTCTGGCTCGTACCTCTTCTTTTTTAACGAGTAGAAATGTATAGGGTAAAGTGAGAGGAGAATTGAATGATTTTGAATAATCGATTGATTTGGCAAGAGATGTCCCGGTTGAAAAGTATTCGTGTTGCATTGGATTAACGAAACGTGGTTAATCTGATCAATGTTGCTATAGTATTCTTGAAAATAAAATATAAAGTAAGTAAACTTTGAATCAGGAAATAATTGCGTCTCGTATTAAAAATTCAATTTAAATTCAATTCGATTAAAAGTAATACTTTACGAGTTTCCACGAATTGTGGCTTGTGATAAATCATTGGAAATCTTGCAAATTAATCAATCAACCCTTTAAATGTATTAACAATGAACGATTTGTTCATTTACACTTCACTAAAATTTCAATAAAAAATTTCTCTTTTTACATTCACACGTGTTTTTCGTACCTTTCAATCGATCGAAACGACGAGACGATAATGTCACCTTCGAAAAAGATCCTGGAGAATGGAAGCAAAGACTCGTGATAGATGTCGATAAGCCCTGATACCCCCGCCAT